AACATTTAAAAGCATTATGGTCTAAAGGGGGTTTCAGATGGGGGAAGCCTTTTTTTTTTTTTTTTTTTTTTTTTATCAAAACTGTGCCAAACAGCTTTCATATACTGATCAAGAACTTTAAATAGGGAGAAAAAGATGGACTAATCCCCTGCTATTTTCAGTGTAAGACTGAACTTCTCCCATGATTAGAAACCTTCACATTCCTAACCTCAGATGACGCATGGCCTGTACGTAGCCCTGTGCTAGTGGCATTCTGTACCCTGAACAACTTTTTCTCCCTCTGTGTTTTTACAGAGAGCAAATCTCCTGTCGGCCACCGCTGTCTTAAACCAGCCTGCAGCTTCCAATTTCTGGAAAGACAGGTTCACCATTCTTCTGATTTTTTTAGCTGTCTTCTTCCTTAGAAGTCTTAGTTTTAAAACACGCTTACCACCCTTAATTCCAGCATCTTCCATAGGTTTCTTTTGGGTTTTCCCCCCTCCTTTAATTACTCTTAATTTTAAATACACAATTAGGGAAAATATTTTTGTTCCTTTTAGATTTTCCTAAATGCTTTGAAGATAATTGGAGGGTTTGTATAATGCCCATTTTTCTGACCTGAAGAACACTTGTACTCTTGTTTACCTGCCAGTCTGCATTCAGCTGCAGCCTAATTCTGTGCTCACTGAAATCGCCTGAACGACCTCAGCGAGCTCCTTCTAACCCAGCCCTGGAGAGGAGAGAGCAGTTTGGGAGAATCGGAGCACGCTTGGCTCTCGTCTCAGGGGGAGCTAAGAGCAATCAAAAACGTGTATGACTGGGTGCTGGGGAAGGCTAATTGGCCCAAATGGGATGACTAATGCTTAAATCTCATGGATATGGGAAACAGCTGCCACACCCCACTGGGATTTTGCATTTTTAGTTGACGTAACAAGTGACTCATTTTTCAGACAATTCCTTGACAAGCTAGTATACTTAAGAAGTATTCACCTGACCTAAGGTGAATACACCTATTCATCCTGCATCTAAGGACTTTTGGACCTAGAATACATACATAAATCAATACAGCGTAGTAACAGGTCATTCAAGATAGTTTTTTTTTTGGGGGGGGGAGGGTTGTTATGGTGATAAGCATTATAGAAACAAAAACACCTGTGTACTAAAAGGAAAGATTACACACACAAAAAAAGAGTTGCTGACATCACTGAGCACTTTTGAATTAATCATGAACTAAGCACATAAATAAATGGAAACCAAAATGCCTTAGGAGATTCATGACAGCTGAAAGATCTGAGGTACTGGGCCCACAACGCAGAGCAGTGGAGGTTACTGGCAATATGGATCAGCACCCTGAAAAAACAGGGGTTTCAGTGCTAGTAAGCGAAGCTACACAGATTTTAAAATGAACTTGGGAGATGATACTCACAACCAGAATAAAGTGTAATCAAATGTGGAGGATATGTTTGCCAAAAATAGGGATGCTGAGTTTCTGAATGCGATTCCTGTAACAGGTGTTTGTACGGGAGTAGTAAAATCCACGTGCAATGAGTTCACAGCGCCTGGGATACATCAGCGTTACTGCACGGGTGCAGCAGTTCATATGCGTAGATCCCATTGACCAAGAATGTGTCGATCTTGCTGTGCATGGACAGCGTATTTATAAGATAGGTCCGATGCATCCACTGTGCAGGTCTGCGCTGGTACAGTAAGCAGCGTTTTGTCTGGGTTTTTTCTGGCATCCAAAGGTGTGGGCCAAGCTTCTCCAGCTATGGAGCCTGACATCTAGAAATTCCAGGCAAAAAGCCAATGCCCTCAAATTTGGCCTCTATAAAATTATATTTAAATTACTTGGGAGTTGTCAGAATAATCCAAAGGGTATTTTTTATTGTGATTTTTTAATACCTAAATTTAATAACGCTTTATTTATAATAAAGACTGTAGTGGAAAACATGCAGGCATATCTAGAGCTTTATAATATGAATATTATTGCTATAAATAATATAAATAAATAACAATGTATGATAAGCAATATGCATTGCATAATATAAATAATAAATATACATGTTTCCATGAATGATATTCCTCATGTGTTCATCTTTGCAGGATTGGATAATATTTACTAGAAGGTTTGGTATGACTGTTGCTTTTTATTTATTTATGGGATTGTGGGCAACACATACTATTTTCCACAGAGATCTTTATGAATACAGAATATTTTACAAGTATTAAAAATTGCTAAGCGTCAAGGGGACACATTGGAAATCAGGGTTCGCTGAGTTTGAAAGGGCCCAGAAAGGTCTGGAGTGAGCACTCACATGAAACTGTGAGCCTAAAAGCCACCTAACTCCTGCCCTCCAGTGTGCTGCCCTGGGAAATGATTAAAGTATGTTAGTTGACTGTCACGGTCTTGAATACACATGGAGGCATGTAATTGGGGCAGGAGCTGATGTGTGGCCATTACAATCCCTTTTCAGTAAATAGTCTATTTTTAAGCTCTCTTTGTGTTAGCAGTCCCATAGGACAAGAAATACGCAGAACTTATCATGAAAAAGGAATTTAGATGAATCGTGATGCTTGAAAGTTAATTTCTGTTCTGACTTGCAGTAGAAAGACAAAACAAC